TCGGTGGACCACTGTCTTTGTGGAGCAGCATGTATCTTTTTGGCGCTCCACAGGTTGGGATCGGCACGACCATCTCGGACGGCCAAGAGCAGAATGGCGGAGGCGCTGATGCGCGCCTTGCACGTGGCCACCCGATCCTTCGACAATCCTCTGAAAGCAAGCTCCTTGTCCAGAGCTTGCAGCAATCGAGTGACATCCGGTTGAAATCTTGGATCGGAGGGGTCGACCTGAAACTCATTCAAGCACAGCACCGCTTTCAGATACTGGCAGCCTTCCGGAGCTTGGAACGATGCTCGGCGAGCATGCTCGACAGCCATGCCTGAGGGATAATCTTCAGTCATCATGGGCGACACACGCCTTTCATCCATGCCGGGCATGAACACTGCCGCCCATGAGGCAATGTAGATGTCCAGCAGCTCGAACGCGAATTTCATGGCTATTCCACAATCCTTGCCGGAATGGCGTCCCCGTTGAGCTCTCTCCGTGATTTTGTAGGTTGCATCCGGGCCGCGTTGACCGACTAGTTGCACGTTGTATCGACGTAGCCACTGCATGAAGCTCAGGGATCTGGCTTCACGGCTTTGCGAAGAATCTTCGCCAGCTTGAAGCAGTTGCTGGTAGGCAGCATAGAAATCACGAGATGTGTTCTGGGCGCTGCTGCCGGGGACCGGAGCAAAGAGATGACATCCTGTGAATGAATGCATGACCATGGGGAGTCCCGCAAACTCCATGATGAGTTCCTGCTCAAGAGGCGACTTCTTGCACAGCAGTCGGTACACTTGCCTCCATGTCGACAGGTTGGACGTGGCTTCGGTGGCACGAAATTTCAAAGCATCGGAGGCCTTGCTCAGGTACCCAGCCACATATCGCATGAGAACATAGTTGCCGTCTCCACATTGTACGTCCACCCGGCACTTGAAGAGATTCTCCAAGACACGGACGAACTCTGAGTCGTGCTTGGTGTCTGTTCGCCCGCAGAGCTTCTCGATGTCTGTGCCGGGACAGAAGTCGGCCCAGAGAACACAATGAACGTGTACCGTGCCTCTCGACTGAAACTCAAAGCGCAGGCTCCACTGCCGAATCTTGGCAAGACCTACTCGCGCGAGATGAGTTCCTTCTGCCAAGAAATGTTTCTCGAGCATGCTTTGCAAGGCATGGTACATGTGAAGCGTCATGATGGACTGCTGGTTGCTGAGGGAATCCTCGAAAAACATTCCATCGTGCAATGGAAATGTCCATTCAGCCGGAGCCACTGTGAAGAAAACCGAAGGCAAGGCTTTCGTCATGTCCTGGTACTTCTCGT